CATTAATGACGTAAAGTACTTGGATACATAGAGTCATTACACATAATTTGTGATTTTACTATGGATATTGATCCTTAATTCGGCCACCCGTGCCCGCATTAAGGCTCGGGGGCTACTGGGCTTCGGGCTTATTATTTACAAATATTAAAGGGGCACATCGATCCCCTGATCTGGTGTTGCCACCCGACCAGTGTCTCGGGGGCTACTGCATTGCCCATCCAGTGCAGAAAATTTTAAGTGCAATACAGTTTCCGAGGAGATTTTGATCCTCAGATTGGTCGGCCGCACCCAACCTGAGTCTCGAGGACTGAGCAAGCCGCTTTTTGTGTCCCGAAGTATCCTGCCGAGCTAGGACTTGATCCTCAGGCCGATTTTACAAATCAACATGGGTCTCAGCGGCTACTGGGATCAGCGGTCTTACGTCATCCTTCAGGTGCATCGCGGATTTTAAACCGATACACACCTAGTCCGGCAAAAAATATTGACAAAAATCGGCCCACATTCGGGGTGGTGCACTACCTCGGAAGCAGTCCGGCAAAAAGCTTGGGCGCTAGTGGCTGGCTCCATAGAGGGCATTTTCGGCATTAAGCTCGGCTAAACTCCTTCAAACTTCTTTGAACCAAGGTGATTTACGACACCTCGGATACAGTCCGGCGTTGGAGCATGGATACATAGTACGGCGTTGGAGCTCGGATACATAGTCCGGCGTTGGAGCTCGGATACATTCCGTCATTAGAGCTGGGAAGCGGTCCGGCGTTGGTGCTCGGCTGCGGAAGATACCTCGAATGCAGTCCGGCGTTGGAGCTCGGACGCAAGAAGATACTGCCTCCCGGGAAAAACTTCAAACCTGAGGTGTGGCATAAAAATAACAAGGCATTGATAAAGGCCGAAAACTTAAAGGGGCTCCTCGGATACCCGACGTGTAAACTCTTCAGATTCACTTTGGCGATCCTCAAGATCGAAGACGAGGAGATTTGTTGAACCAGTTTTCAAGACCGGCGACCGAAGATGAAGAACAGTTCGGAAGAATCGAGGAGCGTCCCTAACTTGAAGACCGGTTCAGGGGGCTACTGACGGTGTCCTGGACTAGGGGGTACTCACCACGTCGTCTCCCAATCTATTAGATTGGGCCGAGGACCCCCGTGGCCATATACTCATGGGCCAGTTCGGACAGCTACCGCATACAAGGAAGATTCCACAAGACTTGGCGATCAAGACATGGACTCCTCCCCACCGGCGTATTCGACTAGGACTCTTGTTATCCTCGGCCTCTGGTATGTTATATAAGCCGAGGCCAGGCTAGTCGATAGATCATTATTATATGAATCATCATACCTCTAGGGTTTAGAACACAACATATGATCTCGAGGTAGATCAACTCTGTACTACACCCATATGAATACAATCAAAAGCAGCATGTAGGGTATTATCTCATCAAGAGAGCCCGAAGCTGGGTAAAACCCCGTTTACATGTTACCATCGATCCTAGACGCACAGTTCGGGACCCCCTACCCGAGATCCGCCGGTTTTGACACCGACAGAGACCTTTATACCAGGAAAAGGGGATCTATTTTCATCCGAAATGGGTGTGGAACAACTACCGCATGAGTTTATGCTCTAGTAAAGCAGGCTACGGTGGCGAAATCTATGAAGAGCTCATGACGAACATCGACGAACACCGAGAAACTTGAAAACCCTAATAGGGATCTAAGCTATGGAGGGGAAGGAACTCACAGATGTGGACTGGCTGCGGAGGTTCGCCGTCGATCTCTGGTCGGTTTCAGGTTGATGCAGTGGCCTGAGTCGGCGAAGACGGGGTGCGCTGCGCTGGCGGCGGCGGTGGAGCTCGAGCAGCAGTGAAGTGGCGAGAGGAAGAAGATGACAGAAAGGGGGAGAATGGAAAAAGACCTAAGGGTCGGACTTATTTATAAAGGAAGATGACAGAGAGGGCGCGGGAAACGAGTAGGCTCGGGGTGGTGTCCAGCTACTCTGGCGCCTCGATTTTTGGAATGGATATTAAGACGAAGATCCATTGGGATGTGAATTTAATGAAAGATGATTTCATGGCGGGTTATCATGGATCTAGAAGATGACGTCATGGCGGGTTATAAACTTTTGCACAGACAGAAGACAGAAGGGTTTCCTTAAGGTGTTGAAGATTGACATGAACCGGTTCAAATCAATCTGGGGCCTAATGTTGGGGATATAATTACTTGTGTAACCCGCCCAGGAGGGGCCGGGTCATGCAATGACGATTCATCATATGAAGCCCAATATCAAGCTTGAAGATGGCAGTTCATTAAAAAGGGCTCAAAGCCCACAGGCGGCTTAAGGCCCGTAGTAATAAACCGCCACCCTTGTAAGACTTGTGTTGTAAGGAATATGTAATCAATCTCCGGGCCGGTCACGTTGATGAGCCGGCCGGGACTCTGTAGGCCGCAGGGCGTCAACCCGTGTATATAAGGGGACGACCTGGCGGCGGCTTAGGGCAAGTAAGATCGATCGAGAGTCAGGCCTAGGGTATCTCGCTCCCTGGTCATCGAAACCCCAATAATTCCAACACAACTAGACGTAGGCTTTTACCTTCATCGTAAGGGGCCGAACTAGTATAAAACATCTCTCGTGTCCCTTGTCCCGTTAACCCCTTTGAGCTTCCTAGTTGCGATGGCTCCACGCTTAAGTCCTTGCAAGAGGACATCTGATGTGACAATTCCACGACAAAAACCGTCTCTCGTGGGACGAAAATTGACCAGCGGAGACTACCAACTGAGACATTAGGAGTAGAGATTACAACTAGGAAGCCTCCTCCACCGGCGGTTGAGGTGGCCTCAGATCGCCCCCCGGACGAACTCCAGTGTTCACCGTCGGGCTCCCAGCCGCTGCCTCGTCGACTTTCACGTCCCTCCCTTTGATCCCATTCACCAGGGAGGCAGCGCCGTCCTCCATCACAACGAACGAGTCCACACCGAGATCCCAACTGGATCGTGGTCGCGCCTCTCACCCCATCAACGACCAACATACAGGATGGGGGAGGGTCTATGTGTGACGCGGGCGCCGTCACCATGGACGGGGGAAGGAGGAGGTGGCAAATACGCGGCCATCGGTACGTAGATAGGGGAGACACGCGGAAGGCCGGAGGGGAAACGGAACACTCTGGATCGCGAGCGTGGTGGCAAGGGGATCGATGGAGGCGGGATCGGCGGCGAAGGGGTCGGCGGCGGCGGCAGCGAACAGAGATAGGGATCTGAGGGCTGCTCTGTACGGAGATAGCGCGATGGCGGTGGGGAAGGAATGTCCTCTGGCGGGGTTCTCGCTCGAGGGCTCTCTAGACGCCTCGCTCGCTCGCCCTGGAACTTTTTCCGCTGGTTTAATTTCGTAGATTTTTTTCCATCCGTTTTTCTGGCGTAGTTCGTGCGAGGGAACTACCTGGACGCATCAGGAGGGCGTCGCGAACGTGGTTTTTGAGGGTCCAGGGGGGAATCGATGAGATGTGGGAGGTGGGATCGAGGACGAAAAAAGCCGTCTCTGGTGGGACGAAAATTGACCAGCGGAGACTACCAACTGAGACATTAGGAGTAGAGATTACAAAACTAATTACACGAATGAAAGGGAAATCGCGAGACGAATCCATTAAGCCTAATTAATCCGCCATTAAAGATTGTTTACTGTAGCACAACATTGTCTAATCATGACATAATTAGGCTCGTTAGATTCTACCGTGGCGCCCTCGATTGTTTACTGTAGCACCCTCGATTCCTCAAGGAAGATATACAGGACGGAGGGGATCAAGG